AATACAGCAACCTTTCCTGTTAAGAAACACTAGAGAGCATAGGAATAAAGGGAGTATTCCTTAAAATAATAAGCAATATCTATCTAAAACCATCAGTAAGCATTATCTGTAATGGGGATAAGCTAGAAGCCTTCTCAGTAAGATCAGGGATGAAGCAAGGATGCCCATTATCACCACCATTATTGAATATAATACTAGAAATGTTAGCTATAGTAATAAGACAAAACAAAAGTCAAAGGAATTAAAATAGGCAATGAGGAAACAAAACTATCACTCTTTGCAGATGATATCATGGTATACTTAAAGAAGCCTAGAGAATCAACTAAGAAACTACTCGGAATAATAAACAACTGTAGCAAAGTTTGAAGACATAAGATAAACCCACATAAATCATCAGCTTTTCTTTATATGACCAACAAAGTCTAGCAGCAAGATATAGAAAGAGAAATACCATTTAACATTACTGTAGACATTATAAAATACTTGGGAGTTTACCTCCCAAGACAAACCCAGGGAACTATATGAACACAATTACAAAACATTTTTCACACAAATAAAGTCAGATCTAAACAACTGGAAAAATATCAATTACTCATGGGTAGGCTGAGCCAATATAATAAAAACAACAATTCTGCCTAAACTAATTTACTTATTCAGTGCCATACCAATCAAACTACCAAAAAATTATTTGATAGAGCTAGAAAAAATAAAATTCATCTTGAAGAACAAAAGGTCAAGAATATCATGGGAATTAATGGGAAAAAAAGTACAAAGGAAGGTGGCCTAGCAACACTAGATCTCAAACTATATTGTAAAGCAGTGCTCATCAAAACTATCTGGTACTGTCTAAGAAATAGAGTGGTGGAGCAGTGGAATAGATTAGGTACACAATGATGGGTTGCTTGGGTGCTTGTGTTTGGGTGCTTGTGCTTGTACTTGGACCCCAATTTCTCCCTAGTCTCAGAAACACTGTCTCTGACAGTTTCTCCCCAGCCCAAGGACACTGTGCCTAGCAATTACTCATGAATGGGCCCCAGCAAGACCCTTATCTCTCTCCCTGGGGGAGTTACAAACAGCACCTGAAGGAATTGTTAATTTGAACTGGCTTTGCACTGGGTCATAAAGATATTCTTACCCACTCGACTATCTATACTACCTCCATACCTCATTATCTACATCCTGGACTCCTCATTATCTGTATTCTAGACCCAAGACATATGGATACTCCCTAAATCTATCTAGTCAAACAAGACACTGACTGGTGGTAGACTGGACAACTCTCAGTTACCCCTGAACTCTAGTTAACTTAGTGGCATAGCAGGCCTAAAACCACACCTCCATGTGGCCCCCCCTTGTGGGCTTCTCCTAGTGAACTCTGGGTAAAACACCTGTGCAGTAGATACAAAAAGTGCATGTTCCTTTAAGAACTGATTACTCCTTAACCACTTCCTGATCCTGCCCTGAATCACCTAGTTAGCATATTTGACACGTTTTGTTACATTTTATCCTATATAAACTTTAACTGTACCTCTCTAAGATCACAGGTTCCTTAAGAATCCTTGCCCATTGAAAAGCATAACAAATAAACTTTTTGCCAACTTGACTTAAAGAATGCTTGAGTGTCTAAATTCATTCCAGATGACCCCATCCTGTACTCCAGTCTTTGAGGGGTCTCAACCTCTCAGACCGCAACACACAAGACAAGCAATCAATGACCATAGTTACCCATTGTTTCATAAACCCAGAGACTCCAGCTTTTGGGATAAGAACTCACTATTTGACAAAAACTACCAGGAAAACTGGAAAAGAATAGGACACAAACTAGGTAAAGATCAACATCTCACACTGTATACCAAGAAAAGGTCAAAATGGGTGCATGATTTAGACATAAAGGGTGATACCATAAGTAAGCAAGTAATAGTCTGCTTGTCAGACATATGAGGAAGGGAAGAATTCATGACCAAACAAGAGATAGCATTACAAAATGTAAAATAGATAGTTTTGATTATATTAAATCAAAAAGTTTTTGAACAAATAAAATACATGCAAACAAGATTGTAAGGAAAGCAAAAAGCTGGGAAACAATCTTGACAGCAAGTATCTCTGACAAAGGCCTCATTTCTCAAATATATAGAGAACTGAGTCAAATTTATAATAATACAAGTCATTCCCCAATTGATAAATGGTCAAAGGATATGAACAGGCAGTTTTTAGGTAAAGAAATCAAAGCTATCTACAGGCATATGAAGAAGTGCTCTAAATCACTTTTGATTAGAGAAATGCAAATTAAAACAACTTTGAGGACCACCTTACACCTATCAGATTGACTAATATGACAAAAAAGGAAAATGACAAATGTTGGAGAGGATGTGGGAAAATTGGGACACTGGTGCACTTTTGGAGTTGTGAACTGATCCAACCATTCTGGAAAGCCATTTGGAACTGTGCCTCACAGGCAACAAATTGTGCATACCGTTTGATCCAGCAATAACTATTAGGTCTGTATCCCAAAGAGATCACAAAAAAAAGGGGAAAGGACCTACATGTGCAAAAATATTTATAGCAGCCCTTTTCGAGGTGACAAAATATTGGAAACTGAGGGGATGGGCATGATTTGGGGAATGGCTGAATAAGTTGTTTGTTGTATGAATGTAATGGAATACTATTGTACAATAAGAAATATCATTGAACAGGTAGATTTCAGAAAAACCTGAAAAGACTTGTACAAATTAATGCAAAATGAAATGAGCAGAACCAGAATAACATTGTACATAGATAGTATCAGTGACATTGTGTTATGATCAACTATGAACGGCTCAGATCTTCTCAGCAACACAATGATCCAAGAAAAGTATCAAGGGTTCACAAAGGAAAATGCTATCCACATCCAGATAGAGAACTGATGTACTCTGAATGCAGATCAAAGCATTTTTTTCACTTACTTTATTCTTTCTTGTGGCTTTTTTCCTTTTGATCTGTTTTTTCTTTCACAACTGTGACTAATATGGAAATATGTTTTACATCACAGCACATGTATAACCTATATGAAATTGCCTACCATTTTTGGAAGAGGAAAGGGAAGGGAGGGAGTAACAAAAATTTTGGAACTCAAAATCTTGTAAAAACAAATGTTAAAAATTATCTTGACATGTAATTAGGAAAAAAATGAAATACTATTAAGAGAGAGAGATAGAGAGAGAGAGAGAGAGAGAGAAGCAGCTTGTGGTCTTAAGATTTGGGTACCTAAACTCTTACAAACTCTACTGCTGAGTCCTATACAAGTAATTCCAAATGTAATCTACAGAGATTAGTTACAGTGATTAACTAAAAACTCTTAACAATTAATCAATCAATAATCAATGTGAGAGAACAGTGCCCTTAGTAACTAAAGAAGATAAGGCTTAGGAAGGTCATAATAACTACCAAGTGTTTGAGAAGCTGTCATGTGGAAGTGAATAGATTTGTTTTGCCTTCCTCCAATAGAGAGAATTAGCTGCAATGGATAGAAACCATAGAAGCGAATGATACTTGTATTACCTAGCTCTCATAGTGGCTGGAAATAAGATCACTTCCTATATCTTAAAGAGTTATATTTGAGTTGTTTGCTATCTTATGAGGTGCTAGAAATTAACATTCTCTGACTTTTTATTTGTTTTTTATTACAAGCCTAAATAATAACAATAATAATAATAGCTAGTATTTATATATTGCTTTTAAGCTTTGCAAAATGTTTTACATTATCTCATTTGATCCATACCTACCCTGTGAAGTAGGTGCCTTTGCTATTTCCATTTTCAGATGAGGAAACTTAGATTGAGAGAGGCTAAGTACTTGCCTAGGGTCACATGGCTAGTAAGTATCTGAGACAGAATTCAAACTCAGGTCATCCTGATTCCAAGTCCACTCATGTGTTATCTTCCCAAAAGAGAGGTGCTTTGTTTTGTCCCATTCCTATTCTTTAGCTTGGAATTGTAATGAAAAGAATTCTGCATTTGGAGGCAGGACATGGGATTGGAACCTAAATCTGCAACACATTACCCATATGCCACCTTTGGCAATTCAATTATTACTCAAGGTTCAGTTTCCTTATCTGTAAAATGAAAGAAAGTACTAGATGACCTCTAGAGGACCTTCAGACTCAATCATTTTAAGAGCCAAAGAAATCAAGAGAGTTTCCAAAACCTCCCTGTCTATGGTTTACTGAATACATTTACAATGTGTCCACAAGAATAGTTAGGATGCCAGGTCAAGACAGCCTTGGGGTGTGATTCTGCAAGCGTCTGGTTTCAGGGACCCATTTATTTCATTGGTGAAGAAACGGAGGCTCACAGAACTGGAAGAGTTTGTCCTGCGGGGTTATCTTCTATTCTTTATGTATTTTGCATGTACCTATTTATCTTAGCTAGACCATTAAAATGTAAGCTCCTCAAGGGCATGGAGGACGGTTTTTTGTTTGTTTGTTTTGTTTTTTGCTTTTTCTCTGTAACCCCAGACATTTAGCACAGTGCCTAGCACAAAGTATTTAATCAATGCTTGAACTCGTCTTCCTGTCTGCCCAGTGTAGCCCTATGGGCTCTGTGTTAGTTACACTGTTCCGCCAAGAGATGGAGGAAAGTAACTCTTGAACCTATTTCCCCACCCCTGCCCTGTTTTATTGACGTGCTATTGAGACTTCAATTATTGCTAGTCTAATTGGCAGAATCAGGAAGACCCAAGTTCAAATCCTATCCCACACAGGTACTAGCTGTATGACCCTGGGCAACTCATCTAATTTATCTTAATTTGTTTCCTTTGCAATGAAACGACATAAACTAACAACACCTACGTCACAGGTTTGTTGTGGGAAACAAATTCGATACCAAGCAAGTGTAAAGTGTTTTGCAAACCTTTAAGGGTTTATATAGGTTCTAGCAACTGTAGTGGTGTTATCTTTATTTTCCTTCTCCCTAGGGTTTTGGATTAGGGTTTCCTGCCTCTACCCAGCTCAGTTCTTAGTCATGATGTCAAAAGTACCACTCTCAAAGTGTTGTCCAGAAGACCCCCGGAGTTTTCAGGGCAGGGATCTTGTAACAAGCGAGGCCACAAGACTTGATGGAGGCCGGTCCTGGGGCGGGGGACCAGAACTGAGTGTGGAGGCGAGGAAAGTGTGGGAGAAGGGCCAGGGCGATGGAGTAATATTGAATAAAGTTGGACTTCAACTTTAGATATCCTGAACGGGGCCCCACGAGTGAACAGCATGGCAAACACAAGAGTGCAGAGGCTGGAACGGGCGGGCGAGGAAGGGCGCAGGAGCCCCACGCCACAGGTGGGGGCTGGGATAGTCAGAGAGGGCCAAAGTCTGACTAAGATGGAGGGCAGGGCTTGGGGCTGGTGTGGGCAAGGTGAGAGTGTGACTGGGGCGTGGGCAGGGCGGGGCAGAATCAGCCGTTGAGGGGCAGTTAGGGGCTGTTGGGAGCTTGCTGAGATGTTCCAAAGTCCCTCCGGGATCCCAAGGACTCAATCCTCAACCCAAATTGCTAGTCATGATGTTGGATCAGAGAATCCCCTGGCTCCAGATCCTGGCCTTTATGGCCGCACAGTCATCACTTGCGCAGCTGCCCCAAATACCACCAATCACGGATCCCAAATTTATCGAGGATTGTGTCAAAATCCACAATGAGCTGCGGGCTATAGTTAACCCGACTGCTGGAAACATGAAATACATGGTGAGAAAGAACTGGGTGGGATCGTAATCATTAGTCATAGTTAACATTTATCTAGAACTTTATGGTTTACAAAAGCCTATATTTTGTTTCAACCTCAAAAGAATCCTGTGAGGTAGATAGCATAGGTATTCTTATCTCCATTTTATGGATGAGGTAGCCAAAGCCTGGAGAAAAGCGAAAGTTCATCGTTTCATAGACTTTGAACTGAAATGGAACTTCAAGGTCATTTTGGTACAACTGCTCATTTTTCAGTTGAAAGAATCAAGGCTAGGAGTGGTGAAGCCTTTGTCAAAAGGTCACACAGGCAGTAAGTGATGGAGCCAGGATTCAAACCCAGCATTCTGCCCATTACATCTCTGTATCTATGACAGGAAGAAATTTTTAAAAATCACCTACTAGTCTAGCCTCTTCATTTTCAAGATGAAGAAACTGAAAACTCCCAAGGTCACACAAATAGTGTCAGTGGTCAGATTCATACCCAGGACTCCTGATTCTAAATCCAGTCTTCTTTCCATTATTTCAAAGTTGCACAAGTATATCTTCCTTGAATGGATCACTTCCTCTTCTTCCTTCTGCTCCCATAATCTAATTGTAATCATCACAGTTATTTTACAACAATTGTTACAAAGACAGGTTGGGAACACTTTGCCATTTTATTTTTTGTGTTGCCAGTACTTTTAAATTTTTTCAATAGTATGTTTAAATAATTGACTATTAAATCTTGATTGTATGCCATATCTTTTTCTCATTATCATGCTTTGTTCACATTTTTATCATAAATTCTGATCTTTGCATAGTGGATGGTCTATGTAAAAATAACTGCCCATGTCAATAATGATTGCACAATTTTTCCCCATCCTCACCTTTTCCCATCTTTGCGTTGAGTCACCAAATATCAGAGTGATAATTTGATATGGAAAGTTTATCAAGTTCTTAATCAAATTTCTCTACCACTTCATTCTTAAGAACTAACATTGGTACTTCAACTGCAGTTATTTTAATGGTGGTCTTTTATGAGTACTTCTCATGAGGACAGTAATATTTGAAGACCAAATGTCTCATTAGATAATGTTTCTTGGAGTTTTGGGACATAGGACAAAACTCCCTCCACTAATTATTTTTTTTTTTTTGGCCTTTCCAAGGAGTACCTGGGGGTCACCCTTCCTTTTAACTACAACTTTCTTCCTTCTCCCAGTTTTCTTGATAGCAAGGATAGGATTTAACTTCTCCAGTAATTTGTCCTCTCATTGGACAACAATCTCACATTTAGAGTCCCAACATTCAAATTAAAATCCAACAAGGATGTGATTCTTACCATCCCTCTCCCCCTCCATATCCCCTTTCCTACCAACTCTGTGGTCGTCGCTGCAGAATATCACACATAAATACACAAATAGCATTTATAGAGCGCTTAGGTTTGCAAAGCACTTTACTTTGCAGATTTTGCACTTTATTTGATCCTTGAAACAACTCTATGAATTAGATGCTATTACTATCCTTACTTTACAGAAAAGGAAACTGAGGCAAAGTGAGGTCAAGAAACTGGCACAGGGTCACATAGCTTATAAGTGTCTAAGGCAGGATTCAAACTCAGGTCTTCCTGACTTTGAGTCCAGTGTTTTACACACTGTGCTACAACACGGGACTGAGGACCCTTAAAAAATATTTTCTTTATTTCATGAGTTGCCATGGCCAAAAGAATTCCACACACATTTGGCCAGCTCACTGGAGTTTTACTCTCTGCAATAGAATTTGGATGTTTGGCAGTTTAGCTTGAGAAAGGACCCTAGTGTCTGTTACCCTATTTTGCCAAATGATCTTCAGAATCTTCCTAAGACAATTTAAATGGAAGTAACTCAGCTTCCTGGCATGGTGCTGGTATACTACCGAAGTTTCACAGGCATACACCAATGAGGTCAGCACAATGGCTCTGTCATCCTTCAGGTTGGTAGACAGTCTTCTCTTCTATGCTTTCCTTTGGAGCCTCCCACACACTGAGTTAACTCTAACGATGCCTGCATCAACCTCATCATGTATGTGTACATCCCTGGAAAGTATACTGCCACAATAAGTGAACTTATCCACAGCATTCCAAATTTCATTCGCTGTAACTGATGGTTCCATGTATAAATGGTGTGGTGCTAGCTGGTGGAGAACCTGTGTTTTTTTGGTGTTAATTGTTAGGCCAAAATTAGTACAAGCAGCAGAGAAATACTTCATACTTTGCTGCATCTCAACCTCAGAGGCTGCATTGGGTGTGCAATCATTTGCGAACAAAAAGTCTTGAACCAACTGTCTCTCCACTTTAGTCTTGGCTTGTAGCCTTTTCAAGTTAAATAACTTACCACCAGTGTGATAGCAATGCCGTTTTTGTCCTCAATGAAGGAATCTTAACAACATTGCTGTAAACATTATGCTAAGAAAAACATGGGAGCAAATGTGCAGTCTTTCTTTATTGGTGACTGGAAAAGCATAAAAGCATCATCCATGATCCAGAACCCATAAAAGCATACCATCATTAAACCAATGTATAATACTGATGAACTCCAGGCAACTGAATTTTGCCATGATTTTCTACAAGCCATCATGACTGACAGTATCCAAGGCCTTGGTCAGATTGACAAATGTGTACAGACCTCTGTTCTGTTCCTGGCATTTCTCCTGAAGTTGTGAGGTAGCAAACACCATACTGACCATTCCTTGGCCCTCTCTGAAGCCATACTGGCTCTTGGGTAGATGAGCATCCTCCAGGTAAAGGATCAGCCCATTAATGAGGAGTCTGGCAAGAATCTTGCCTGCAATGACAGGGAGACCTCCCCCTTCCCCCAACCATGTGAATGTCAGAGGATAACCTATTTCCTTTACCTTTACAGAGATGGACAGGATAGGATTGAACTCTTGGGGGTTAACCTCCTCATGCTGTATAATCTGGAAGATTTTAGTCAGCTTTTGTATGAGCAGTGCCTTGGAAATCTTGGCTGGAATAGAATCAGCACCAGGTGCTTTGCCACAGGAGAGGAGCCAAATGATATTAAAAAACTTCTTTTTTCAGTTGGAAGTTCAGCTAGAGAGAGATTGACTTCAATCTGAGGTACATGGTCAGTGGCATCAGCATTGACGGATGATGGTCTGTTGAGAACACTGTGAAAATGTTTAGCACATCTCTTCAGGATCATGTTTTTATCATGTTTATCACCAATCAATGTGGGTCCATCAGCACTGAGTAGTTGAGGTGCACCATAGGTTTTTGGCCTGTAATTGTTATTATCGGCATAAAACTGAATTTCATTTGCCTTCTTACTGAACCAAGAATCCTGCATCTCTCTAATCTTTGCTTACACTTTACTTTTGATAGAGTTAAATGCTGCTTTCTTAGAGACAGATGAACTATCCTGCTGGTAAACCCTGTGGAATTCTTGGGTTTTTCATTTAATAGCTTCTGAATTTCCCCATCATTTTCATTAAATCAATCTCCATACTTAATGAGTGTTCTGGGTCAGATGAGTAAATTCAGTACTGTAAACCAAATGGCTGATTGATGCCCACTCCTTTTCTACTCCATTGTTGCCAACTGTGTATTGGCTCAGTTTTCCCTCCACATTAGTAACAGATTGTTCTTTCTACAAGTACTCTAATCTGTTGACGTTAAGTCTCCTGGTAATTATTTTCACTTGTGGCCAACGATTTTGTTAAATGTAAATATTTAGCTTGAAGAGGATAAGTTTATGATCACTCTGCCTTCATCAGTCTCACCTCCTATCTGTCTCTTTTCCTCATAATGACATAGTCTATTAAATGTCAATGTTTTCTGTGAGGATGCATCCATGAAGTTTTATTTCATTTAGGTAAATGGAAGATACTCATGAGTCATAAGAGAAGGTCATAAGATGCACAAGTCTTTAGTAGTAATTGATTGCTGGGCTGTTTCTGACTCCATTCCTCCAAAGCACTCCCTGCCATGTCTGGTAGTCTGTGCCTACTCTGGTATTAAAGTCACCTAGAGGCAAAGAATTGGAAATTGAGGGGATGCCCATCTATTGGAGAATAGCTAAACAAGTTGTGGTATATGAATATAATGGCATACTATTGTGCTATAAGAAAAAAGGAGCAGGCAGACTTCAGAAAAATCTGGAAAGACTTGTATGAACTGATGCTGAGTGAAATGAGCAGAACCAGGACAACATTGTACACAGTAACAGCCACATTGTGTGATGACTAACTTTGATAGACTTAGTGCTTCTCAGCAATGCAAGGATCTAAGACATCTCCAAAAGTCTCATGAAGGAAAATGCTATCCACAGCCAGAGAAAGAACTATAGAGTTGGAATGCAGATCAAAGCATACTCTTTGCTCTCCTTTTTTTTTTCTTCTATATTGTTTTGTTTCTTCTTTTTTGTGGTTCCTCCTATTGGTTCTAATTCTTCTTTACAACATGACTAATATAAAATATGTTTAATGGGAATGTACATGTAGAGCCTAAAAAACAGTCACCCAGAATTATAAGCTTGTCCTCTTTTGGAGGTGATGTCCTCTTTTTTGATGATGAGGGCCTCCAGGTTTTCATAAAAAATTTTTTTTGATGTCATCAGAGTTCATCATGGTGGGAGCATAGGCTCTGATGATGGTGGCATGATGCCTTCCTGCAAGTGGCAATCCCATTGTCATGCATCTGCCATTCACTTTTTTTGGTAGGCATACAAGCTTGTTGACTAGATTAGTATTGGTTGCAATACCTATGCCAACTTCATAATGCTCCCTTTCACTGTAGTCACTCCAGAAAAAGGTGTATGCAGCTCCAACTTCAGTAAGCTGGCCTTCATTGGCAGTCTTATTTCACTCAGGGTTGCTATTTGGACGGGATATCTGCTGAGTTCTCTTGTAACAAGAGCTGTTCATCTTTTAGGTCTACTGGATTTCATGTTGTCCATAAGAGTATATGCATTCTATGTACTGCGACAAAAGTTTTTGTAGGTATATGTGTGTGTGTGTGTGTGTGTGTG